TTCCATTTGATTGAATGGCTTTTGCACGTATAAATTCCTCACCTCCTACTGGCACCCCATTATGAACTATAACTCTTGTCTTACCTTTATTAACAAACCCTATTCTCTGCATACGTATAATATTTTTATTTAACTCCCCATAACAATATAGTACCAAATCAATTTGATATTTTCCCTCATTGTCATCTGGAATCATTTCAGACAAGTTTTCTAGAAATTTTTTAACCCATTCTGATTTACCAGATCCTGTACTCCCCGATACAATCATTGTAAAAGGGTGCTTGAATCGTGAATGTATTAAATCAAATTTTTCAAATCCTGACATTTTAAAATTTTATTTAATTTTTATAAATAAGTATATATAGATTTTAGAATTTAAAAATAAACAAAATGAATGTAATGGAATTTCTTATCACTCTTATGGTCTGGGGAGTTCTCGAAGACGACCCCGAACCAGAACAACAACAGAATACATCAAACGAATCTCAGACGGACCAGCCACCATTAATAGTGGTTGAAGAATCTGGAGATGAAGTTGAAGAGAAGGAAAAGGTAAGATAAATTAAATAATTAAATTTTTAAAATTTTAATTTTAGAAAGGTGTAGATGTTATTACCCCAGCTTTTGGATTACTTACAATTATGGATGACATAATAGAAGATAAAATGGATGAGGAACAAATTGAAGATGAAATTAATATAGATACGAGCGATAAAATCCTACGAATTACTCATGACGACAAGCCTTTGGATTGGACTGTTGAACCAGAAAATCCTTTTCGTGAAACTACGCCACCAACGCCAGCAAAACAAATCGAAGATTTTCAACCTAAAAGGCCAACTACATCTACATTATTACGTTCGAAGACAAATTTGCCTATTCCATTAATTGAGTACCTTTGCCAACTTCGAAATTGTTCGTTCAAGGAACTACATGTACTATTCCATAATCTTGATGCTCGTCGGGAAATTATTGAACATTTACGCCAAAGTGTGCAGTTACGGACATCTCATCTAAAACCAACGTGTCGCAACTTTATTGTACATTGTCATGATCTTACAGTGCAATCAGCAAGTATTGTTCCAGCAATGAGTGGTTATTTGGGCATAACTGTAAGCTTATAATCAAAAAAACTAATATTATTTCTTTATTTTAGGTCCGCGGATATTATTATGTAAAGCATAATTTCAAACTGTGTCATCCATATCTACCTTGTATTATCGAGTTTGGTGGAGGACATCATCGATCATTTTACCCTCTTGAAGTCCTTTGTGTAATCCGAAACAAGATGAAAGGAGGATGTTATTAAATAAATAAATAAAAATTTTTAAAGTTGAAAACCACATATAAATTGTATTTTAATTTTTTAATTCACAATTAAATTGTCTTTATTTTTTTAGTAAGTAAATATTATGCAAATCTATAATTGTACAGTATTATTTAAACTCTTTAAGAACAACGTTAAATTTTCTTCAGAAAATTATTTAAAGCTTGCAAGATTTGGAATTAACACTGAATATAATCCTAAAAGATTCCATTCGATAATTATGCGACTAAGACACAAAGGCAATAAAACAACGGCGGCACTAATATTTCAATCAGGAAAAGTCGTCTTAACAGGCGTGCCTACTCCAGAATTAGCAAATGAAACGGCATGGAGAGTTGTGAAAAGTATTAGAGCTTCAAATAATGCTGCAGGAAATTTTCAGAAAATTGGAATTAATAATATTTGCGTTACGAATATTGTTGGAGCCTACAAACATGATCATAAACTAGCAATTGAAAAATTATTTAAACAACTTCGACAGCAAAATATGAAAGCCAATTACGACCCAACAATTTTTCCTGCGCTACGTTTCAAAATAGGTATGGAAGAACGAGATGGAGAAGCATCATGCCTATGTTACATCTCAGGACGTGTGATACTAACAGGAATAAAATCTATTCATGAAATGAAACACGTTTTTAACAATGATATTTTACCTAAAATTAAACAATTTCCACGAACATAATCTTTTTATTAACAAAATATATACAGAATAAATTTTAATAAAAATATTAAGAATTGTATCTATTTCTATAATCATTTTCTGTCCATCCGGAAGACCCAGGCAAATCTTGCAAATCTAAAACATTTGTATCTAAACGCGATCTTGTGCTTGGTGTCGGGGGTGTTGTCGTTGTATTTGATCGTTTTTGTTGACGCCTTTGTTTTACTGATGTCTGTAAATAATATATTATTAAAAAAAAAACTAAGAAAATTTAAATAACTATATTATTCCTCCTGTGTCCAAAAGGAAGAGTTTCCATTCCAGGCATAATTCTTCCTTTTTCATAACATGGTCTATATTCCTTCCTAGCCAGATGGGTGTAAAGCTGAGACCGACGAGTTCTTCCAATTTGCGGGAATTGCACACCAATTGAATTACCAACGAAAAAGACATCATCAGCAATCGTGTCATCACTGAATATATATTTGTATTTTCTTTAAATTAGATGATAAACTCACACTGCCCCATCAAAATTGAATTGATTCAACACGAGTTGTTTCATAGTGTTGAAGTTAAGGAGCTGATGAGTAGCATAAGAGAGCGGGAATGACCGAATCTTAAGCTCTGCTCTCTCATCCAAGCCTGTACTTGCGTCGACGTGTCGGTAGCCATAATTTTTCGGCCCACCAGCAATAAATTCCAATATTCGGCGTGATGGAACTTCACGCTTCATCTGACCAAGATATTCACCTTCAGATACACGCGGGCCATTACGCTTTCCGACATAGATGATGGAGTCAGTATCGCAGTACAAGAGAACGCCGCCAATTTGATGTACTTGTTCAATATACTCATATAGATGGAGTCGAGCATATGAAGTGACGTACGCTGCTACTGGAAGGCAGTTGGTATTTGGTGCTTTGGCAAATTCCGGCTTCTTCCTCACAACACAACGGTCCAAATGCTCGCTGACATGATCAAAGTCGAGCATATCAATTGTTGGGTCTTCTAACAATTGGTGAAACTCTGCCGGTGTTTTGGCATATCGAACTTCAGTTCCACAAACTCGTTGCGCCAGTTTTCCCCAGAGCGAGTTTGCTAATAATTTCTGAAAATTTAATTTATTTTGAATATTTTTTTTTCTAAGTTAACTCACCGCAATCATTCGCAAACCAGGATTTGTTTCAATCTTCTCTGGGTCGAGGAAGATTCCTTCAACTCGTTCAAACTCAGCTAGGTAGTCAGCTCGGTCCATCTCCGAGGCACAACCATCTGGCCATCCACTAGCCTGTTGTTTCAATCCAATGAATGTGTTCACATAGGATCGAAATAGATTCGGATCCCATTTTTCATAATTCCAGACCTAAATACCAAATTAAATTTGTTAAATTCAAATTAATTAAATTCAAATTAAACTCGTATATTACCTCATAAATGTCGACGACTTTATATCCACGTTCCAAAGCATAATTAAGCTCCACATGGGTATAACCAGTCAGCCAGGAACGTTCACGTTCTCCATGAGTGCAAGGCCGTTGTTGCCTATTATCAGCACATTTTGCACAAAGGGGAAACGTGAGTCGCCCATCATGAGTTCTGTATGGTAGCACTGGTGGAAGATTTCCATTCATAAAGTTCGGAGGTTGAACACGAACAAGAAGCAAACCCTTATAGATGTTATGCTCTGGAGATGTCCATGGCAAAGGGTTGTTTGGAGGAAGAAGCAATGTATCAAGTGTCAAAACATTTGGATGCCCAATAGGAAAAGATCTTGCCTTCATAACATAAGGGTAGAGACTTACCTTAAAAATTTTTTTATAGTTTCTTTAAAGTTTAGATTCAAATATACAATATCGATGTAGAGGATCTCTTCATCTTCAGCACACATGTGGTGAAGTTTGAAGGGTTCTGTCCTTCCCCCTCTAAGGCAGTCTTCTCTGGGATCCATAGGCCTTACACAGTCAATTTCAAACCATTTCCTTTGTAATTGTGTGTTGTTAAACAGCTTTTCTTTAATCTCATGTCCCCAGACAATATGTAGTTGATATCCATGTCGATGTTCCAATTCCCATCGGCGTTGTTGTGTTCTCTCAAAAAGCTCTTCGGCTGTACGTCCAGCTGCTAAGCGTTGGTCACGTACGGGGAAGCATTTGGGACAACCTTAAAATTTTAACAAATTAAGAAGTTTATAAAACTTTATACCGTGATAGTAACATCCCATATATTCAATAGCCAAAGGGCGAAGGGGAGGCGATCTTTGCCATAAGCCATCAAGTCTATACCCGCAGTCTTCAACATGAGCTTCTCCAAGTGCCCATTGTGCGTGTTGAATTTGACCTGCAGATTCTGGGTGTTGTAGTTCAAAAAAGCGGATGTATCGCTGCGATTCGGCTGAAGCTCGCCGTCCTCTCAAGTAACCTCCTTCAGGCGAGTGAACTAACCAATTTTCAGGCAAAAAGCAGCGACGCATTGTTGTTAAAGCGAGGCCTGCTGCCGTTGATACAGCCAAAAATGGGTCTAGATTCTTCGTGTTTTCTCCAATAAGTTGTCGAAATCGGAGTACGCTCTCACGCAGAATCGCTACATCATTTACGCAATACTGAATTAGTTGTTCGCGAAGCTGGAAGTTTGTTGTTGTTTGGATGGATGTTTGTTGTGTATACCATTCAATGAGCTTTTCTCTCTTTTCAGCCTTCTTATATTCAGGTTGGTAATATTGAATTGCAGGGAGCCCTCTTAACCTATAATGGAGGTGTTGTCTTTGAATAAAGAGATAGGGAAAGAAGGGCTTTGCAGTAACCAAATCCTCTGGCAAAGCAAAAACCTTTGTTAGTGCGTCAAGCTCACAAAAAAAGTAGTTTAACGAGTCCTTGAAAAGCACTTTTCTTTGGTTGTTCCCTCCAAGACTCATTGAATAAATTTTGAGTCCTGTTGTGCATATTCTTGTTGGCGGGTGGCTTCGCCTATGTAGAGCTTCCAATAATAGATGAAAATCATATTTTCCTCCATTATGAGCTATGCAGATAGTAAGCATATGTTGTGAAACGTGATTAAGTAGGTAGTCTAAGAATTGGTCCACAGGATTATCTTCAGCGTTGTCAAAAGAATGGAAAAACATACGCCGATGATTGAAAGTGATGTTATCTGGAAAGGCGGTGTTGTCGCCTGGAGCATTTCTGAAGGGTGGGGAACACCAATTACGCCATCGTTCTCCTCTTGGAGTCCCACAAAAACATCCCTGAGCACGTTGACCAACATCTTCAATACGAATATTAGCCCGTATACAGGCTTCACAAATAACCTATAAACAAAAATATATTTAAATTTAATTTAAAAAATTAACCTCGGCAATAATCAGAAGAGGTACATGCCTGTAGCCATTGATATTTTGGCTTATTTGTACAGGTTCATCCTGACTTGTTTCAGCATCAAAAAAACAAAGACGAATTGGTTGTCGATGATTTCTTGTTCTTTGTTGCTGTTGTTGTTCATTATTATTTTCATTATTAACTTGTTCATCCTCATCAGGTTTTAATGGCTGAATAAAACATGGCTGGTCCTCTGTGTGAGGGCCATTACACATTTTACAATTTATTTGAGGTTGTTGCCGTTGTTGTTGGCATTCGTGTGCTTGTTGAGCATAAATTATGAGATGGCAATTCGAGCAAATACGACGCATTTGGCAAATGGATGCAAAATTACGTGTATCGCGTCGAACCATTTCTAGAGGAGCAGAATTGACTAGATGGTAGTCATAACATGATCGGCGTGGAAAAATGAATCCACAGTTTTGACAAGGGATTCTTTCTTCTTCCTAATAAATAACGATAAAAAAATTTACAATTTAATTTGATATTACTTGACATGGAAATTCGGGACCTGACCGCATGCAAAATCTACAAACTACAGTGCACCCATCCCAATGACTCCAACGTGTCACTGATCGTTCACAGTCAATACAATAACGTTTGACTCCCAAAAGTTGTTCAGGGCGACCAATGTAGTTGTAGTGACGATTCTCCAAGAGCAGACATAAATTGTAACGAGCTGCTCTTCCCTCTCCTTTAAACACAATCCGGTACTGTTGCTCTTTTTGGAAAACAACAATACGAGTGTGCCCTTCTCCATAATATTGATTTAACCATCGTTGGAGAATCGCTACATGTTCAAGCGAATATTCCTATATTACGTAAATATATAAAAAAATGTAAGTAAATAATGCCTGTAATCCATATGGAAGTCGCTGTATTCATTAAATAGTTTAAAAAAATCAAATGACGTTCTTGTTGTTGGCAAAAAGCTCTAAAATGAGCTGCTCCATTATTAGCATCGCCTTGATCAACAAGTCGAATTTTTGTAAGTCCAATCACTACTGCACGAGCAAGACAGTAGCGGTCGTTTGGATTGTGGACGCGCACAATTGAACGACATCGAGAAGACACTGCATGTTCTTGGTCCATATCGCAGCTACCTGTAGGAACATGACTGCCTTACATTTATTTGAGAAATGTAAGACTAGTATGAACCTACCCGAATGTGATGCTGGATTATTAGTGCGCTGCCCAGTTAAAGGCCATACAGCTACAACTTTTGTTGTTGTTGTCCCTGAGATGTCTATCCCAGCCTGGGATATTTCGTTCAATCTCTCTATAGCTGCGGCTAATGCTGCTGCATTATTTTGTTCTAATGGCCGGAGGGGCACGGTAAATGGGTGGTGGAAATTTGGTGGTTGGACCTGAAGACCAACGCGGAGAGGCGCTGGTCTTCCGGTGAGCACCCGATCCAAAAGTTGTTCAATAAGTGTTGTTAGAGCCAAGTCAGGTCGGGGGTGATCGGCCAAATTATTAAATCTGATTTGGGCGATCTCACCACGAGTATTTCGTGATTGGGAGGCGAATGGCTCTATTCTTTCAATAACAAAGTAGTTTCTCATGTTTTCAATCTAAATTTAAAATAATAGTCTTTTTTTTTCAAATATAATTTTTAGCATGCGCAGTTATAGATAAGTGAAACGAATAAATGTATGCCAGGACAATATAAAAGCTTGTTTAAGGAAGAATTGTTTTTTTATTTATACAAAGATATAGGAGTGACAATAAATCTTTAAGCCCATAATCTGATACCTAAACTTTTTTAACTGACTAGTAAAAAATTTAAAAAATAAAATTATTAATATTTATTTAAGTTAAAAAATTACATATTATGGAAAGAATTTAATACAACAATTCTCTAATTTAAAAAAAAAATCCTTAAAAAAATAATTAGTGAATTGTTGAGATTAAAATTAATAATGCTATTAATATAAATGCTAAAAAAAATTGCTGAAAAAGAAGGCAATTAACAAAATTATATAAAAGGCAAGAAAATAAAATTGTAAATATTTTTAAAACAAAAATTTAATAATGGCAGAAAAGATAATAAATATTATAATTTAAAATTGCTTTTACATTGGTAGCAAATATGAATATTGAATATATAATTAAGGTTTAAAAATATTTGCTATCAATGTAAATACATTAATTTTATGTACACATAATATCAATAAAATTTTTTTTCTAAGTGGTTAAAATAATATTGAAAAATAAAAATTGGTTTACAAATTTTACCAGAAAATATTTGAAAAAAAAGTGGTTAATCAATGTGGTTAAAATAATATTGAAAAATAAAAATTGGGTTACAAATTTTACCAAAAACTTTGAAAAATAAAAGTGGTGTGGTTAAATGTTATCAAAAACAAATTAAATAGTTTTTCCCCCTCACGTCAAAAGAATACACTCAAAAAACTTTGATTCTTTTGAAGTGAGGGGAAAACACGTAGGAATCATTCCTCCAAAGTTCAAGAAGCCATTCGGAAATTATATGGCTTCTTTAAATTTGGAGACCTGTCTACAAGCAAGAATCCTCACAATTTTCGGATCCTTGCTTGTAGAGACATGCTACGAGTAGACAATGTAAAATTAGTACTCGTAGCAATGCCCTTCCTATAGTTAACACTCACTAATCTGTTTGCTCTTCCCCAGTTATTAAATGTCGTCGGCACTGCATACATGTTCTATAACCTTCTGCATATTTTGAAAAACATTTTAGATGCATATTATGGCCACATGTAAACGAAACGATAAATTTGTTTGGTTTGTATAAGCTTAAACAATAGGTGCATCTCTCATTTGCTTCAGTGATTGATACCGGCAATTTCGTTATTGATCTTCTAACTATATGTATTTCTTCGTTTGATAATCCTGTTGTAGGTACAAAAAACCCATCCTCTAAACTAGTAGTAGTAGTAGTTGCAGCACGCGATATAGACTCATATTCTAATACAATTAAATTAGGAAAAGATCAGAATGATATTTATTAATAAACAATATAAAACAATTTACGAAAAATTTTATAAATTTTCTTTAGGAATTGTTTATTAATTAATATACATGTTTGAGAACAATATAAGATACCATTTGTCATTCGTCGCACTTGGCGAGTTGCGTCATGAAGATATTGCAGATGAGAATAGACTCTCTTTAATTACGCACAGATTATGAATAAAAGGTAATAATGTCGTTTTGTTTAATATTTGAGGGAGAATGTCTAACAATTATGGGTATTCTGGGGAGAGCCAAAATGAAAAACGACACTATTTCAAAAAAATTTACATTTGAGTGAGACACCAATGGACGACGTCCTCTAGCAGAGCGTGTTGGCCTTGAGGATCGACTGATTATTTGATTTGCTGCTGGCAAAACCTGAATTTATAATAAAATTTTACAAATTACAATAATTTTTTTTAATTACTTGGTCCTGCGTATCCAAGACCACTTCTATGTCTGAGACAACTGGTGACGGTGCCGGAGAACCCTGAAAAAAAAGAGGGGCCCCCTAGCTTTTTTTCTAAATTAATTGTAGAAAAAAGCTAGAGTGTTGGATATGTCCGTAGGAATCAAATCTTCGAAATCAAATGATTTTTGATATTGGAAGACATGAATCCTATGAACAGTTTCCAACGCTCTATCTTTTTTTTCTACATTTGATTTAGAAAAAAAGCTAGTGAGTTTAGATTAATATATAATTTCCCCCTATATTATACTTAGAAGGAACATGTACGATTTGATTTTATTTTTCATTTAAAAATTCCGTGCATCTAATCAAATTTCGTTTAGTGAACAAACTTCGTAAAACAAAAAATTTCGTATTGTAAACAAACTTCGTGAATCAAAAAATTTCGTTTAGTAATCAAATTTCGTATAGTAAACCAATTTCGAATTGTAAACAAGTTTCGTAAAGCAAAAACTTTTGTTTAGTAATCATATTTCGTAAAACAAAAATTTCGATAGTAAACAAATTTTGTAAATCAAAAATTTCGTACACAAATTTCGTTTAGTGAAACACTTCGTAAATCAAAAAATTTCGTTTATTAATCATATTTCTTATAGTAAACAAATTTCGTAAATCAAAAAATTTCGTAAAGCAATATTTCGTATAGTAAACAAATTTCGTATTGTAGCCAAATTTCGTAAACCTAAAAATTTGTAAACAAATTTCGTTTAGTGAACAAATTTCGTATCGTAAACAAACTTCGTAAATCTAAAAAATTTCGTATAGTAAACAGATTTCGAATTGTAAACAATTTTCGTTTAGTGAACAAATTTCGTAGCGTAAACAAACTTCGTAAATCTAAAAAATTTCGTATAGTAAACAGATTTCGAATTGTAAACAAATTTCGTTTAGTGAACAAATTTCGTATCGTAAACAAACTTCGTAAATCTAAAAAATTTCGTATAGTAAACAGATTTCGAATTGTAAACAAATTTCGTTTAGTGAACAAATTTCGTATCGTAAACAAACTTCGTAAATCTAAAAAATTTCGTATAGTAAACAGATTTCGAATTGTAAACAAATTTCGTTTAGTAATCAAATTACGTAAAACAAAAATTTCGTTTATTAGTCAAATTTCGTAAAGCAAATATTTCGTAAAATTAAAATTCGTTTAGTAAACAAATTTCGTAAATCTAAATATTTTGTTCAGTAATCAAATTTTATAAAGCACAAATTTCGTTTAATCAAATTTTGCAAAAAAATATTTCGTATTGTAACCAAATTTCGTAAACCTAGTAATCAAATTTCGTAAAACAAAAATTTCGTATAGTAAACAAATTTCTTAAACTAATTTCGTTTATTAATCAAACTTCGTAGAGCACATATTTTGTAAATTTAAAATTCGTTTAGTGAACAAACTTAGTACATCAAAAAATTTCGTTTAGTAATCAAATTTCGCAAAGACATATTTCGTATAGTAAACAAATTTCGTATTGTAAACAATTTTTTTTTGTGAATCTGAAAATTTCGTAAAGAAATATTTCGTATAGTAAACAAATTCCGTAAACCTAGTAATCAAATTTCGTAAAAAAATTTCACATAGTAAACAACATTCATTTAGTAAACAAATTACGTAAACAAATTTCGTTTAGAAAACAAACTTAGTACATCAAAAAATTTCGTTTATTAATCAGATTTCGTAAAGAAATATTTCGTATAGTAAACAAATTTCGAATACAACCAAATTTCGTTTAGTAAACAAATTTCGTACATATTTTGTAAATCGTAAACAAATATCGTTTCGTTAACAAATTAGAATAGCAAAAATTTCGTTTAGTAAACATATTTCTAAAATCAAAAATTTTCATAAATACATTTTCGAAGCAAACAATTTTTTTGACTAATATTTTTTCTATAAAGGATTGCGTGAATCAAAACTTTTTTTTCGTAAATAAATTTTTTGTAGATTAAAAAATTTCGCATTCAATCAAGTTTAAAAAATTTATTCCGTTTAAAATCAATTAAATTGAAACAAACTCAAACTAAATTTAAATTAATTAGAAGTAAATTCAATGTAATTAAAAATATATTCAAAACAATATTTTAAATAATTTTATTTCATTAATAATTCTTTAAATTCTTTTCATTTAATCTTAAATTCTTTTCGTATACGCAAATTATAAATCCGTAAAATCCTTTAAAATTTAATTTGAAAACATATAAAATTTATATTTTTTTGATTGGTTAAAAGTTTGTTTTTTTTAAAATTCAAATCGTACATGTTTTAAATGGGAAAAGGTAACTTAGAACTTATACAATTAAAATGAACTCACGTATTCAATTTCTGGATCTGGATTAGACCCATTATTAATTGAATTCGAAGATCTATCTACCAGCTGTAAAGTTTCAGTATTTGAATTTGGATGAGGAACAGCGACAGTTGAAGTAGAAGGACCTCCTGAATAAAATTTATTATTAAAATTTTAAACAAAATTTTCATTTAAAAAATTTAAATTTTTCAACAAAAAATTTTTAGTATGATTATTTTTAATAAGTGTTAATTACCTCTGCCAATCACCGCGTCTTGATTAACATTTATTTGACCACGCCCTTCAATATTCATAGTAGAACCTTTCACAAACTTCAATTTGAACTCAATTGATCCGGACCATTTCACACGTACAGAGTCTTCCGGAACAACGATCAAATTTCTCATTACAACTACCTGAAATTTTAAAACAAAATTTTTTTAAATATTAAATTAGTACATCATTAAGATTTGCAGTTGCCAAAATCCCAGCGTATTCATTCCAGCCAAAAACTGCCACACGTTCTTTTTCGTGTTCTTGTCCCAGCTGTACGATTAAGTCTCCTCTATCCCACCCGTTTTTACTTGTAGGGGCGCGTTTGACAAACACCACGACCCCTTTTAGCTCTCTAAAAAAATTCAAAAAAAAATTTTTCGGAATAACAAAAATTACCCAAAAATAATTTCTTTTGCTATCGCAACATGAGTACGTCCGTATTTGTTAAATTGGTGGCAGGATCAATCAAGTTCAACAAATGTAAATTTTCAGGTTGAGTTATAGCACGGTTTCTTCTTTTTTCTGCTATCTGTAATAATTTGTAAAGGTTAAACATTTTTTTTTCAATTGTAAATTTTCTAAAAATTTTTACCTCCTGTTCCAGTATTTGTCGTTCCGCAGAATTAGTTGTCTGGATTATTTGTTGATTTTGTTGTCCCCCTGCTACATTTGTCTGATTACTAGTAGTTTGCACACGTTGAACAATTAATTGTTGTTGTAAATTATTTTGGGTAGCTACAGCAGAAGTTTTACTTCCTTGATTTGGTGGCACAGGGGATTTCTTTCTTTTTCTATTAGAATTTGAATTGGAGGACATTTATTTTTTTCTAAATCTAAATTTTTAATAATTAAATTTTTAATAATAAATTTAATTTGGAAATAGAAAACTTTCAGAAAATACAAAATTTTAAATAATAATATTAAATGAATTTGTTTAAATTTTTTTTAAAAAATGTTAAATGAAATTAGATTCGACAAAGTTTTATGCTCAAAGCGGCAAATTCCTAACCCTTTCAAATGGACAAGCATTTACATTTAATTAAACAATAGTAAATATTTGTCCATTTGAAAGGGTTAGGAATTTGCCGCTTTGAGCATAAAATTTTTCGTTATCTAATTTTCTATCTATAAAATTAATGACTAATTCGTTTTAAACTAAATTTTTAAACTTAATTAAAAAGTTTTTTGAAAATATGTTTTTTTAAATAAAGAAAGCCTAATCAATTTATAAAATTTTTAACTCACTAAAGGCAAACTGTAATCTCATTATAACCAGAAATCCAGTCCGTTCAGTTAAATATTTACGAGTAAAATTTAATATCTTCATTCTAAATAAAATTTTTAAAAATATTTAAGAAAAAATATTTTTCATACATTTTATGAACCAACCCCTATGAGGGAGAATAGACAAGGGATTCTTAAAATAATCCTACATATTTCCTCTTATAGTTTCTTAAAAACATTTTAAAAAAACTGTTGAATTAAATAATTATCACAATCAAAAATATTGACTTTTAAAAAAATCATTGTTTACCTCACAAATTAAAGTAATATCCTTTTCATTTTCAAAAAGTATATATTCTTTAAATCTGACTCTTGGATGTCCTTTTAAATAGAATTGATGCTACGTTTTTGAAGAATTGTTCCACCTCGGCAATACACTTAAAATTAAAAATATTTAATTAGGATATACTCCAAAAAGCTACCCTATATTCTCCTTCCTCCAAATTCTGCGCGTTTTTGATAGTTAAACTAAAGCAAGAAATTTTAATTATTAAATTTTCTAATTTTACAAATTTTGCTCCTTCATGAATTGGTCTCTTGTTCCTTTCCATACTATCAACGAATAATTGGCATTGGATTACCGAGAACCTAGAAAAAATATATATTATAATTTTAAACTATTTACGTTTTAAAAATATCACAAAAGAATCACTCTAATATACCCCGTTTACCGCATTTTAGGCAAAACTCCGACCCGAACACATAGGGCTCTACCCTTTACAAATTAAAGTAATATCCTTTTCAGTTTCAAACGGTATATATTCTATAAATCTGACTTTTGGAGACCCTTTTAAATATAACTTATTTTTAAAACTTACCAATTTTATCAAAAATTCCAAGTAATCTAACATCTTCCTGTTCCCAGACAATCCCATAATCATTACGTGCTGAACAATTCCACAGCCCCAAATCTTGTTCAACAAAATCAAAAATTTTCATTTTCGATAGCATTAAATGTTTGCCCAATTTATCATTGCTAACTTAACGATTTTTGTTTTTGTTGTTATTTCCATCTCCTTCACCCGTTCTAATACGTTCTGCAACATCCATTCGTAGGCCATTATGTAACCATTGGATATTAACTGGCAATACTCTTGACTGTACCTAGATATGGATTTATTTGTTATTCTTATTACTTGGTATATTTCGAGAATTTAGGAGATAAATAAATGAATAATCTTTAGAAAAAACAGGGTACGCTAAGATTTTCGTGTTGCACAAAAACACGAAACTAGAAGGATTTCTTGATATTTTATTTGCTTTAAAGAATTGAGAATCCAAGTGATTCTTTAAATGATTTAAAATTAAAATCAAGTCTATTAAGAAGAGGGGGGGGGCTATGAAAGGGGGCATAGACGACGAATTTTTAAAAAATCATATCAATGAAACATAAAAAGAAATATGTGAAATTATATAATTATCCCTCTAACATATTAATTCTTTAAGAAAAATCCAGTGTACCTCACAAATTAGAGTAGTGTCCTTTTCATTTTCAGAAAGTATATATTCTATAAATCTTGCTTTTAGAGGTCCTTTTAACTATAATTGATGATACAATGTTTTTCAAGGAAAGCCTTCACCCTCGGCAATACACTTAAAATTTTAAAATATTTTTTATTTGAATGTATACTCCAAAAAACTACCCTATATTCTCCTTCCTCCCAATCCTGCGCATTTTTGATAGTTAAACTAAAAATTTTAATTATTAAAATGTTTTAATTTTACAAACTTTGCTCCTTCATGAATTGGTGTCTCTTGTTCCTTTCCATGATACCAACAAATTATAGACGTTGGATTACCGAGAACCTAGGAAGACAAATATTATAATTTTAAACTATTTGCACGTTTTAAAATATCTACGAGAGAATCACTCGAATATAAGGTAATACCTCGTCTCCCGAATTTTTAGGCAAAAACTACGACCCAAACCCAGAATGCTCTAAACCCCGAAACCCAGCACACCAACCCGCAAAGGCTCGTGAGGTGTACCCTAATCTAATATGTATTCTCAGGACTTAATTTAGCCGAAGTACTATGAGGAAGTGTGGTATAAAGGATAATCAAATTAGATAATGTTTCGACAATTTATTTACCTCGCATTGAAACGTTGTTTCAGAACCTCTATCAATTATTTTAGATTGATTTGTAGACATAAAACGCGGTCCAACTGTAAATTTAAAAATGTTTACGAAGAATCAAAAAATAAATAAACCTATAGGGAACATTCGATTCAAGAGCAGCATTTCCCAAATCCAACAGTTTTTTCTAATGTACAGTTTACTTTTTAAGATTATCATTAAATTGAAGATTAATTTTAACACCGCCACCACTCCTGTGACGAGTGGTGGCGGTGTATTTACCCTAAAAATGAGTAATTTTAAATTTTGCAAAAAAAATTGTGAAGAATATTTGCAAATAAAATTAATAAAATGCTTGCCCATAGAAATATATAAACAAGCGATAGAAATATATGGACAAGCAAAATCAATAAAAAATCTTGTCCATATAGATATATAGACGCACGCGCGAAAAAAAGCTAACTCTGTTCCTTAAACATAACGCCAAAATTTAAATTAAATGTCTGTTATTTTCCAAATTATATTTCATCTCTCGTGCGTCTGACTTTATTGGAAACAAGAGAAAGGGTCAGAAGGAGACAAGTTATAAAATGGTCAGAGGGAAGAAAAATGGTCACTCGAACCCCGCTTCAGGCATCATTTGATACCCTTTAATGCCCAGAATCGCGTTACGATACAATTTAGCCTAGCCTCCGCAGTACTCCATTCAAACCCCGCAAGCCCCAAAAGGATTGGGTTTGCACATTATCGATTGATTAGAAACAAGAGGGCCTGAAGGGACTGGCTATTGGGTGAGAGAAAAAATTTTTTCTCTGACTTCTCTCACCCGATAGCCAGTCTCTTCAGAGCCCTCTTGTTCTAATCAATCGATAATTTAATAATGGTAATATAGTAGTATGAATCTCTCAAATTAATTTTTTCTGGAAAATAAGATTAAGGCTATCTTATAGCAAATTTCAGGGGCTATCAAATAAGCCAAAATAGAAATTTAAAAATAATCAATATGGGGTCGAAAATATTTTTTAAAGAGTCTTACCCCTATTTTACCCCTATTTTCAGGGTATCGAGATCTCGACATTGAAATGAGATATCGGCCTAGTTCTTTTTTATTTTTTCTTAGTATCGATAAATATGTTATGTGAAATTTTTGTAGATTTTTCCTAAAATTAGAAACATGAAAATCCAAAGTGCGGCTATACTTTTGACCAGTAAAAAATTTACTAATTTTTGATATTTTAAATTTTGGCTCTATGTTTTAAAAAATTTTTAAATACTCTTTATCCTAATCAATTTCTATTGACTTCAGAAATATTTTCACAAAGTTTTAAAATTTTGGAACAATTTAATCAAAAGTTATACAATTTTATCAAGTGCGGCTATACTTTTGACCAGCACTGTAGGCATTTAAACAATATTAAATTATACCAATTTGTGGTTATTTAAAATTCAATTTTATTTATGAATCACGTTTCTCTATTCTTAAACCAAAATTTTTTGGATGTCAAAGTTATCATTTGACAAAATTTATTTGCTTTTTTGTTATGTACCTGACTTGATAATGAAGAAGACTGAACACTCACAAGAGCTTATCACGTAGAAAATACACAAGAAAAAGATTAAGGTTGAAATATGAAGAAGGAAGAAGACAAGAGAGAGAACTAACTATTGGCTGGCTTTTATCTGTAACTGTTTTCTGTAACTGTTCTCGTTCATACACAACACTTTGTTTAGCTACTCCACTACTGTAACAAATTAAATGAATTTATTCAAGTCAGTTATCCTATGATTATATTCAACATGTAATTAACCCATAATCAGATGTCTCAGGCTCTGCACGGTGGCTAAACTTCAGTAAAACTCTTAGTCATGAACCCCATGATCATATTTCCCGTTTATTTTTATTAATCTGAAAGCTATTAATTAATTTAAAAAATATTGCATAATAATACTTTATGAAGAAATAAATGTAGAATGTAGAAGTTGGTAGAAATATTTTTTGGAAGCCAAGAAGATCTTAGGCTATTTTTCTTAGTATAGACAAAGACATAGAGAAAGATGGAGAAGTTTTCAGACGATAATACCTAAATTTACACCCGGATCTCACCTTAGTTATTTTTAACCATATTAAATAATTAAAAAGATTGTACGTAATAATATGACTTTAGTAAATATGTACGCGTTGTAGTTCTCGAAGTATTATTTTTTGGAAGCCGAGTATTCTCAGGCTAATTGGTTTAACAACCATATCTTTCTTTATAATTTTTTCTGAAAAATATGGCTCTTGCTATCTTGTAGCAAATTTCAAGGGCTTTCAAATGAGCCTAAAATAGAATTTTAAAATAACCTATAAGGGGTCGAAAATCTATCTGACAAAGCTTTACCCCTGCTTTACGTTGATTTTTGAGGTATCAGTAGCTCGACTTCTGATAAAGATACCGTCTTAGTTTTTTCTTATTTTATTACAATATTTATTGTAGTAAAATAATAGTACAAAAAATTAATGATAGGTACCAAGATAGTATAGAACTATCAAGTGGTCGTATCATTTTGGAACATTTAAATTTCGGTTTTTAAACGATAAATTTTTTATCTATCAACTGACAACTGTGATATTTATAGATTTGAACAATATTTTAGAAATACATATTTTGTTAAAATTTGAGTTAGATTTGTTGATTTTTCATCAAGTTACAGTGAAAAATAAGGGTGGTCGTATCTTTTTGGAACAGAGTGTAAATGCAGGAAATGGAGCGCAAGAATGAGACTGAGTGAGTTAGATTAACAGAATAACTCTAACCTCTCGAATGTCTAAAAGGCGTGGTCTTATACTAACATAAGTATGATTGCCAAAATGGACAGACTCGGAACGAAAGATCGTGTCGTGCCTAAGATATTTGACCCGAAAACTGTGCATCGATCTTCTCCCCGACTCGAAAAGCAACGCTAGTATTCAGGATAAACCCAACAATATTAGCCTAAGCAAAGCTTGGCTTACAAAAATAAAGAAACAGACTCTGGGAAATGTGGTCAAAAATAATTCAAGCTTTTTTATGAATGGATTTAATTAAAAATTTGATATTATTAAAACATCTCTTGAACTAATTTTAAAAAATTATTTAAAGGTCTGTGCTGGCAGAGTTACTGAAATAATTAAACGGAACGACGAAAGATTAAGCTCCACCCAGAATTGAAAGATGTCATTGCAAATATTTGGGCAGATCCAATTATTCAGAAGGAAATAGCTCCTAGAGGGAATGAATTCAATTTGAACGCGAGCTGTCATTAGTGAGTTTAAAGTTAATTTTTCATAAGTATGAGTATAAATGGTTTAACACGGTTTAATACTTAATATTAATTATTATATTATTTCATACTTAATTTAATGTAAATAAGGTGTCGTTTGACGGTTTGGCCAAGTAGTTGTCATTTCTTGAAAGTTGAATCAAGAATTCAACTAAATTTCTTAGCGAGTTTATTCTGTATAGAAACGGATTGGTAGAAACTGGAAACTTATTTGCGTCCGTTAATTTTTCGATATGCCTACCATTCTTTGTAATCACACATTGACATGTTTTTTTCACATAATCATCCATTTTAGTGGTATACTTTATGCGCTTTGTTATGAATAAACTTTATTATTACATAGTTTTTTATTATTGATTAATATAAAAGCATTAATAATTTAAGAAAATTTGTATCTGCATTCCTCAATATGGTTTAACATTTTTGGAAGAAGATGAAATTATTGATCATCTTAGATCCATCCAATATAGGTGGCAAAAAGCGAATTTGTGGAATGGAACGGCCTAGAAAGTAATTTAGTCTAAGCGCTGCTTGACTTTCAAAAATAAACGATACAGTTAAGATCTATGTTATTTAAGCTAATAAATGCCTTCCTTTCTGAAGATTAAAAATTAAAAATATTATATTGTTAATTCTCCTTAACAAATAGAAAATATTTCCTCTAAATAAAAGAAACTAAAACGCTTTAAAAAATAAAATTTATAAAATGACTCTCCAAACCAAGGCCATCTCTCAATACACATTTTTATTTCAAATAGATCTAAAATTATAATTCACCTTCAATTAAAAAAGGAGCAATCTATCAATTAACGATTACCAAAAAAAATTAAATAATCAATTAGGATGTTGGTGACTTTTGAAGAAAATTGATCAAATTAATTGAACATTTTAAAAGTTGATATACATATAAGGGGAAATTGTAAAATATATAATTTTTTATTTAATGGACAATTTATTCAATTTTAATTTAACAGCTATATAGTGAAAGTGATTTCCAGATCTTATTTTTGTAAGCCAGGAATGCCTTGGCTAGTAATTCTCATCAGAAATGTGCGTGCCTGAAGAAACAAATCAGGCTGATTTCCGATTGGTTAAGTAAGGGGAAGTTGAAGAGATTAAAGATGACTTTAAGAAAATAAATGAAGTTAATCGAGGGACTTTAAGACTCCACGCACAAAGTAGTAAATTAGCAAAAATTTAATTTATTTTAATAAAATATTTATTATTTTATTAATATTGATATAAGAGTTAATTAATCAGCCAGCAGTATATTTTTTATAAAACAATGCCAATATCTTTTTGGCCAACGAAAGAAAAATTCTGGCCAACGAAAGAAAAATTCCTTATAGATCATTACTTACAAATATTAGATACTTTTGAGACAGTACAGAACGAAGGTTCTGCTCTCAATCATATTCTCCAATCCATACTGCCGAAGCCATGCTGAATCCATACCCAGAATATAGAGGAATCAGCCCAGAATATAGAGGAATCACAAATGCACACCAGCTAGTAATAACTACTAGGAGGTCGCTGGATCGAAGCTTGCCCGGGATTAAGCTTTTACCTCGCTCTTATTGTACAGCCATTGATTTTCCGTTTGTTCTCATTAATTTGATAATCGTCGACTTCATTGGACTAGACAGGTCAAATTCCAGTTTTAATACTAGGTTGATATTTTGTCAAAAAATACTTTGACATCCAAAAATACAAATAAAATGGCCGCGTCTCGTCTTTCCAGTTACACTTTTTTAATCATTTTAAAGATTAATTTTTAAATAATTTTAATATTAAGTAAATTGGATTGTTAACAAATATAAAGTTGGAAATAAGGTGAAATAAGTTCCGATCTCCGCCACCTTTGTCATTTCCGGTCGACATCTCAGGCTGGTCGATAATCCCTTAAATATTCGACATCATCTCATAGTTCAAGCATTAGCTAGACAACAGACAGACACGTTTTTATTGTGCCTGAAGTGGTGTGCTATTCAATTCCTAAATTTAAGAAAAAGAAATATCTGCCTGAGCTTTGCTCGGCATCCAAAAATAAAACTGAAAAACTGCTTGCAGGCCAATTAATGAAAAATTTCTTATAAATTATAATTTTAATTAATGTATATCTTTACACAATACTGCGATGTAAATGAGGTTCTCTTAGAAAATGCTATAATATAACAGCTAAGTATTTGTAATTAAATAGCTATAGTTAAGTATAACAGGGATTCCGACGTTTATTTCCTTCCGATTTTTTAAAATTTAGGATGATTTCCAATTTCCGAGTTCCTATTTCTGAGCCATTTTCGATTTCCGATAGTTTTTATTGTGCCTGAAGTGGTGTGCTTTTCAATTCCTAAATTTAAAAAAAAGAAATATCTGCCTGAGCTTTGCTCGGCATCCAAAAATAAAACTGAAAGTTTCGAGTAAAACTCGAAACGAGTTTCGAGTAAAACTCGAAACTCGAATTTGCCCCCTTCAAAATGATGGCAATATCCAGATATAAGAGATAATGAATGTATTATTTTTACACGTATTTTTTGACATAAAATAAAAATTTTTGTTAGTCTCGGTCAGTATCGTTTCTCGATATTGGTCTCGGCTCAAAATGTTGGTATCGGTTTCGGGTTCTTGAGTATCGGTCAATCTCGGTCTCGGATCGATCGATACCAGTATCGTTTTGATCAACTCTAGTTCAAAGGCAAATATAAAATACAGGGTGACCCAAAAGAAACCGGGCACGCTATTTTTGGCACAACTTTATTTAAATTAAAGATAATGAGATCAAATAAAGATGAAATTATAGATAATCAAATGGAGAATAAGATATAAAAATCTTTTAGAATTATTCCTATTCTACTTTGAGATAAGGTTAAAGGAATGTGAGAAAAATTATTGCTTCAGGTCGCACCTTTTTTTGAGGCATTTTGCCTATAACATTAGAACAGATTGCAGGAATTACTCAAAATTTTTTTGGCATGTAGAAACTGATTTACCCCAAACTGATTTACATCTACTCAGGGCCATCCATGTAGGAGTTTGGATTTTTATCTTTCAGATTTGTCCGGTTCGCTAATGATCTTAATCAAATTCTGTTGAGATCATCCCGTTTGGACTTGTCCTTTCTGAAATACAGAAATCAAAATTTTAGGGGGAAAATTTTGATATGGTGTACCTAAAATTACGTAACTTTCTTAATCCTTAATCAAAAAATCTATAATTTTACTATATGATAGAGAAATAAATGGGCTAAAAATAAACTTGGAATTATAAAAAAATGATATGAACAAAAAAAGTTATAAAGGATATAAAAGTGCCCGGTTTCTTTTGGGTCACCCTGTATATAAAAGTAAATAAAATAATACTTATAAATTTATTAATATGTTTATAAACCTAGGTGTATAGTAGTCGGTGGATTTATTTTTGGAAGCTGTGCAAAGCACCAGCTAAAAATTAACTATAAATCTAATCAAACCTTTAATTAAACCCTCAAACTTTAAAAAACAATTATTTTTTCACCCGGCATACATATAACAAGAAAAGTAATAATATTTTTGTCTACAAATGCTAGTAATCGTTAGCTTTAGACATAAATTTGCCTCAATAGAAAGCATATTTTGTGCCCTAATAATGTTCCAAACTCTTCGTTATTCAACTAAATCTCTTTTAGTCCTCCAACCCCTTCCTACAGATCAGAAAAACCTGGCCAAAACTCTTCCCGAACCTTAACATTTCCGATTCCTAATATAGTGTTTTCCTATGGCACATTAAGCTGTATAATTTACAAGCAAATTGTCTTGTAACTTTTGAAGACATGAGTTCCAAGACAATATAAAATATATAAAATTAAAAATACTAATATTATAAATGTATTAGTATATCAAATATCTGTGTTCTGCCGAATTGAATCAGTGCCCTTCCGATGTTTATTTTTGGAAGCTGTGCAAAGCATTAGATAATAATTAACCATAAAGCTAATTAGCCTTATTCCAACTTTTAACAATTAAAGTTTATTTTTCACATGGCATATATAAATAACACAACAAAAGTCAATAAAAGCATTTATATTTGTCTGTAAATGCTAATAATTATTAGCTTATAAGCTAAGTATTAGCCTCAATAAAAAGCATTGTTTGGGGGAAGAAGGAGGTATCCCAACTCCCTCATAATATTCCATATCCTTCAAATTTGACCATGTCTATTTTAATCCTCCCAACCCTCTCTATAGATCAGAGCTAAAGCTGATGACTTTTCTCTAAGCTTAACATCTCTGATTCCTAGCATAGTGTTTTCAGTTTTTGTACGTTAGGCAGTTTAATTTCCAAGACAAGTTGTCTTGGATTCCATATCCTTCAAATTTGACCATGTCTATCATGACATCAGTCTCAAGACAATATTAAATATATAAAACTAGAAAAATAATAATTTTTTAGTTTATATAACAACTATCTGGGCCATGCTTGAAGTTCTTTTTTATTTTTTGGAAGCTGTGCAAAGCACCAGCTAAAAATTAACCATAAATCTAAGCCTTACTCGAATCATTAACAATTACATTACATTTTTCTACCCTTTATTCACTTACAAAAAGTCTTATGTTACAGGCAAAAATTGAAACAAACTTTGTGACAATTAGTCTCTATAAAGCCCTATTAATCCCTTAAATCCGCTCTAACCTGCAATCCAAACTAAATTACTTTTAACATCTCCAAGTTCCATTAACCACTTCAAATCTATCCCCCTTACTCTCCAAAGTCGCGCCTATAGCCTCCACCCCCCCCTCCCAATACACTTTATAATGATACGACTAAAACCGGACATTACACCATACCCTACCTCCATATTCTTTATACTGATCCGCCAAAACCGGATTTGACTTTGTTTCAACCACTCCTCTCTACTTCCTACGATTAAATAAATCAGCATTGAAAACCCTAATATTTATTTATCATTTTAGCTATGATCTTTCATAGCTTCCAAAAAATAACATGGTTAAACTGACTCCAATTTTGTTGTACATCTACTATTCTTATTTTTAAGGCTTTTATTTTATTGATACATATTTTGTAAATTATTATTTTATCAAGTTTCAAACTAAATATTTGTCTGTAAATGCAATAATTACTAGCTTTAATGTGAGTGAGCATTATCCCTTGTTACCTTGCGTTATGTATAACAAATAGCATTGGAAATGAGTCGCGCGAATTTATCTCTCCTTTTTTTTGAATGTTCTTTACCTCACAAGACTTGGGAAGTTTTCTTTATAATAGCCCAAGATAAAGGTTAATCTAGCCCTTTCCACTAGAAATCCCCTTCGAATTGAATGCCCCTTTATTTACGTCTAATAATTGAACATCGTATATAATCTTACATTATTTTGCTCTATATATCATTTATTAAAGAGTTACAAGTCTGAAAAAATCGGTAAGAAGTCCTCTTAGCAATGCTGTGTATTTTTGTAGGTCTAGCAATGCTATGACTAATATTGAGTTACTCTCCGAAACCTATTAATTAGGTTTCGGAGAGTAACCAGGAGCATTTCCCCCCTCGGGCTATGGGAAATGCTCCTGGTCTGCGATTAATTTTTGAAATATTGGACTTGAAACAGGAAATGTTCAGTTAGCATGATGCTAGATAAACACGAAACAATAAAAGTTCAATACCACTTAATCAAATACCACTTAATGGGAGCAGGCCAATGTACCGCAGCCCAACGTACCGCTGGCCCAACGTACCGCGAGGAGGGGTGGACGCAATTAAAAAAATTTTCCGCAGCCGCAATCCGCAAGTCAAAAAAACACGCAATTTTACGAAATCAACAATACGCAATCCGCAATTTCAATTTATACAAAGTAAAATATTTAGTTACTTCAAACAATAATTAAAATTATAAATAAGTAAATTTTGATGCAAGATTAATAACATCTCAAGGTTCTCAGGTAATAAACTTTTTCGAAGATCAGTTGCTATAAGACCAGCTGTACTGAAAAGTCTCTCACTTTCGCAGCTTGTTGCAGGGGTGCAGTGGTCCCTACTGAGACTTCTTCCTCCATTGGAATAAAAAATTCATCTACTTCTTCCTTAATTTATTTTTAGATTAAATTCAATATTACTATTTACATTAGTTAATTGATTTTTTTCAGCTTCCTGAATCAACCATTCTTTATATTCATCCCAGCGGTTTAATTAAGGTTGAACTGAAGATTAAAGACGAATGGGAAGAAAAAAGAGAATTTATTTATTTAAAAAATGTTGAATTATGCTACGCTTACATAAAAATCGCGCGCGACACGCGACAAAAAGATAATGGAAAAAGAGGAGAGAAAAGTCGCCGGCGATTTTGTCGCTTTTTTTGCGTGCTTACATAAAAAGCGACTTCCGCCAGCGACTTGTCGCGCGCGACTTTGTCGCTTTTTTGAGTGCTTACATAAACCGCGACTGTCGCCGGCGACATGTCGCGCGCGATTTTGTCGCTTTTTCGTGTGCTTACATAAAATGCGATTTCCGCCGGCGACATGTCGCCGGCGACACTTTTTTTGATTCAAACATGTTTGAATTTTTGGCGACACAATTTTGCGACAACTTTTTTTAAAAGTTTGTTATACTATTTCTCGATCAATTCTGATCCGATTTTTGAAATTTAAAAAGATTCTGAAAGTTCAGTTTATTCTCTATCGATCAATATAAATTTTATATTTTTAAATTTAAATTTTATAGGTTAAAATTGATTTTAAAAAAAAGTGATATTTTCTGAAAAAATTTCAATTTATTTTATTTTTCAAATATTCCATGACTAATACAAAAGTAGAAATTGATCAATTTATCGAGCTGGTACGAGAAAACGAATTGATTTGGAAAAAGGGACATGATGAGCAAAAAAACAAAGGCAAATGTGAAAGCACGTGGGAAAAAATTGCAGTCGAAACTGGTTTTGAAGGTTTATTATAAAATTTTTAAAAATAATAATGAAAAATTCAGATGCTAAAGCTGCGAAACAAAAATGGAAAAATTTATGTGATTATTATGGCAGAGTTAAGAAGCCAAAGCCGTCAGGGTCGAATTATAAAGAAATGAAATGGCCATATTTAAAAGCAATGTCGTTTCTGGAAGAAGAAAGACAAAGTTGTTCTAGGTTATTTTTTGAATAATTTATACTTTTAAGAAATAATTTTAAGTAGGATCGATTCGACTGGACATTCATCATCATCAATAGAAAATTTATTGAAAATTAATGTATCGATTAATTCAAGTGATGAAGAAAATTATACTAAAGTTTGACTTCGCCACGTTTGGCTGTTAAGCGTCGCCGTTTATGCGAGAACAATAAACACGATGAAGTTGATGATTGTATTATTGAGTTAACAAAGCAGATCAAGGATTCTCTTTCGGAAATCACACCTTGTAAGCAATTTGGGGCAATATTGGATCTGAAATCAAAAGCCTTGCCAGCCCAGAAAGAAATGAAGCAAAATCAAATATTATGAATATTTTAATGCAACTTAAGTCTCGTAAGAGGGTGAGAATATGGATATAAAGGAGATGCTAATTTATTCGCCACATCAACACTCAAACAAATATTGACCAATAATTCTTTAAAAATTCCTGAACCAGCGTCTCTACCAGGAATGCCTGATTCTAAAATCCATTACTTTATTGTGGCAGATGCCGCCTTTCCATTGTCTTTAAAAATTATGAAACCATTTTCTGGACGGATACTTTCACGTGAGCAACGGATATATAATTACAGGTTTTATTATTGCCATGGGCTTTTGATTTTAGCCTTTTCTAGATTGTCAAGAGCCAGACGAATTATTGAAAATGTTTTTGGAATCATGTGTGCTATGTAGAGGCTTCTACTAAAACCTATTGAAACGTCTATAGAGTCAGCTAATTGGATTGTACGTGCCATTGTCGTTCTGCATAATTTTTTAATTGATGAAGCAACAACACACAATCCAACATTATTAGTTGATCATGGAGATGGATCAAAATATAGTTTCTCGTCATTTTGGAAACAGTTGGTTCGTTGGCTATGCTGCGTGGAGAAGTAGCTGTAGTCTATCTTGGGGTTGTAATCGTTCAGAGTCCTTTTAATTCCTTCATTTGCTGTGAGCGTTCCGTATTGGCAGTGGTTGGTCTCTGTCATTCTGAGGCACTCTTCTTTCGAAATCGGAAGTGTTTCGCTGGTGGTCACATTTCTTCCTTCCCCGATTACGTTTTCCCAGTACTCTACCCTCTGTTTTACAATGACACACCTACTCGCTTTAACTTCCCTGGCTTCCATATTTACCCGATACACTTGCAGTCTTAATTTGACCTTGGTACCCGGTAACCACTCTGAACAAGACATACCTCGATGTTGTAAGTCGATCAATCTTGCGGGAGCCACCTCATTGCACATCATTGCCGACTGCCCGACGGTCCATCTGAACTTGGAAATTAATAAAATTATTAAGAGTAGGGTCCAATAAAGTCTTCTTGCCTCTATTCTGCGGCCCAGGAGGGCTTGCAAGTCCTAGCAGGTCCAAAGAAGGACGCGCGGCAGGCCAGATAAACCTGTCCCGTTGTCTGCCCATGGTGGTCGTAGTTTTTCTTAACGTCTCGCTTGTTACATTTCTAGCTACGTTGTTGTTGTCGTCTGTTGGGTCTCGCACAAAAATTGGTTGGGTCCCATCTTCTGGCGTTCTTCGCTCCATTCCTTCTGCTGTGATGATCATCCCCTGGTAGGGGAAGCTAGCAAAGTAGTCGAAAAAGGCGAGGAGTTTCCAAGCCGTATCTTTTTTCAGATGATGAGTCCTGCTGTGGAAGTAAGCCAACATAATGTTCCATGCGTAGCTATTCAAGAAATGGTGAGTGGAGTCATTTAGACCTTTACCTTTAGACCAAATTTTGAGGATGGTGCTTAAGGTTCTCAGCCTTCGTTCCGTGATGTTTTCTCTCTGCCATCTTGCGCTTTCTACCACTTTCGTGCCATCGTAAGAGACGTCAATTTCTAGGTCTTCAGTCTTAATCCGAATTATTTGTACGTTGCGGGTGAATATCCGGAAGCAATGATCGAACCAAGCTTCCTGCCGGCATGAAGCCCACAAGTGTCGTTAAATTGATGCCAGTTCTCTTCTTTTTATCTCAGTTGTTACTTCGCCCCGAATTGCTCTGTCCGGAAGAACGGTGATGTCGAGATCGCTGTCTTTCAAGTCTAACTCAGCAACGGAACTTCCATATAAGCAGACTCGAGCTCTTCCTCATCGTTCAGAGAGAATTCGTTCTATTTTCCTTGCCAACTTCTTCTTCTCTTCTCTTTTTTCTTCACTGAGTAACCAATCAGTTGCGACGAGATCTAAGTCGGCGGAAAAGCCATTCTCATCCCGAGTCATCCAATAGTTGGTGATCAGATTGCCATAATATTGGGGATATTCTTCTGTCGCCTCCGGCCCAAGAGGGCTTGGAGGGACTTCGGAAGAGGTCCCTGCTGAAGTTGTTTGAATATGAAAGATGTTTTGCAACCTGCTTTCTAAGGTCGGCCTGTCGGAAGTGCCTGGTGTGTCGTCCACGGGAGGCTGCCAATTGTTGGACATCATTTCCTCTACTAGTCGTGTCACCGCGGTTGCTCCACTTTCTGTTAGGAAGCCGTGGCAGTTGGTCCAGTCTTGGTTATTTGGTGCGATGATCATCCGGAACGTTGATTCGGTTTCGCGGGCGTCCTTCATTAACTTCTTAAATCCCTTCTCATAATCCTTTCGGACGGACGTGACTTTAGTTGGTGGGAGGATCCAAACAACATTGCGCCAAAGGAGGCTCAAAATGTTGATGAATGGGGTTGTGTCGCGACTGAATACCTCCCAAGGTGTTTCTCTCAGGATATGTGACGTCCCTAAACAGATGATGACCCAATCGGTTATTGGCGAATAGAAGAGGGTCGTTAGATGTTCCGCACTCTTCGGAATGAGTGTGTAGGCCCCCAGATTTCGTCCAATTTCAGCACAGTATTCCTCGGTGATATGAACCTTCTTTGCTTCCACCATATGTACATCTCCGATGAAATATTTTGCCTTCATTCGATTGGCTAGTTTCATGATGCTTCCCTCCATCATTTGAACTAATTCATCTAGCCCTTCGTCTTCGATATGTTCTCGCACCGATTCTGGTCTAATTGCGACGTAGTTGTTTCTCTCTATCGGATTCGCAGCCCCCTTACAGTAGATTCTCCAGACCTTCAACGCTTCTTGCAACTCCGTTAGAGTCCACCATACGAGGTCTTTCTGTCCGATTCCCTTCGTTCTCTTCCTCCATTTCTCATGGCTGACCGGGATATCCGCTTTTTTGTATCCAATCTTTATTTGGCCACCCATCTCTCGCCTTGCCTGGCGAGCCATCCATAGAAGTTCCTCTGACGGCGGTGTTTCACAGAACCTTTGCACCCACAACTTTATCTTCTCTTCAACTTTGCCGTGCACCGTTGCCCACAAAACCAAGATTAAGTGAAGAATTGATGGAATTACGCATTCGCTTTCCTCTTCCATATGCAGGAAGTTCGTTGTCAGCAGGGCCTCACATATTCTGTGCCCTGGTTGTCCGGGGTTGCAGATCGTGAATAACCCCCAATCATCCGTTTCAAGCGTGCCGTTTTCGAGGTTCGCATCCTGGTACTCGGCCATATCCTGCCATGATGATGGGTCCTCGGGGTCCTGGCCAAAGGAGGCTTGGTCCCCTCGGAACTCTTCTTCACCCACCCATTGCTCGTCGTCGCTGCCCGCGAGCGAAACGTCTTCCATTGCCTGAAATTTTGAATAGATACTGTAAATATGATTTAGTTTATCATTAGTATTTATCCCTATTGTTTTTGAGTTAATATTTTGGTTATTATTTCTTTTATCGTTTATTTCTAGATTATAAAGTTTGTTGATTGGTCTTTTCAGAAATTTTCCTTGGACTTTTACTAAGGCGCTTCGAATTTGGTCGTCGGCTCCGGTGTATAGCTTCTCGATTTTTCCCACCTTCCACTGATTTCTTTTTCCCTCACTTTGCTCTATCAAAGTGAGCTCTCCCACTTTAGGGGGTTGATTGTTTTCTAGTTTTCTTCTTTGTCTTTCTAATAACGATGGTAAGTATTCTTTCTTCCATAAATCCCAATAATGTTTAGCTAAACTTCTGTTCTGTGTGTATCTTTTTATCAATTCTGCTCTTGTGTCTCCTTTTGGGATATATTCTTCTTCTTCTTCATCTATTTTCAAGATTGGTTCATTGTCTGGGTACGGTACTAAAATTTTCCATGGTGTTATTACTTCATTTATTTCATTTTCTGAAATATATGTGAGTGGTCTTTCGTTTACATACTTTTCGATTTCTGTAAGTAATGTGATCATTTCGCTTAATTTTAATATTCTTCTTCCAATTGTCTTACTTAACGGGTTTTTTACCATTTGTATTGTTCTTTCAAATAACCCGCCTTGCCAAGGTGCTGCTTCTGTATTAAAATACCATTCTATTCTTTATTAGAGAGTGTGTCGTTTGTTTCTTTTGGCCTTTGCCAAAGTTGGCTTATGGCTTTATTTGCTTTTTTGAATGTTTTTGCGTTGTCTGACACGATTATTTTTGGTAATCCTCTTCTTGCGATAAATCTAGTAAATGCTGCTAGAAATTCATCTGCGGTTAAGTCGAACACAACTTCAATGTGTATCGCTCTAATTCTTGTGCATACGAAAATCAAACCCCATATTTTTGACTGTTGATTTTTATATTTAACTATAAATGGTCCAAAGTTGTCCAATCCGATTGAACTAAATGGTTTTTCGAATTTATCTTCTATTCTATAAATTGGTAAGTCAGGTGGATTGGGTAGTTGATATGCTTTTGTGTTCTTCTTTGAACATGTGATACAGTATAATTCCTTCTTTTTGTTGAATATTGTAGCTCTGATTGTTCTTCTTGCTTGTGGTATCCAATATTTTTCTCTTAATTTTGCAAGAACTATGTTTGTACCAGAATGTTTCATTTCGATGTGTGCTTGCTTGATAATCATTGCTGTTATTCTTGCTTTCTTTGGTAAAAATATTGGTTGATTTGCTTTTTCATGCGCTGTTTCTGCTCCTAGTCTTCCTTTACATCTTAATATTTCTTCATTATCTTCATATATATTTAAATTTTTTCTTTCTTCTTCATTTGGTGGATATATTTTTTGTATATTTTTTATTAATATTTTTTCACTCCTTTCTAACTCTTTTGCTTCTGTTGGTCTGATTTCTTTATTTTTATTTTTTGTCGTTTTATTTTTCCACCTTAGTGCTAAAGCTAGCACTCTCTTTGTTTTTATCCAGGATGAGCTTCTTGTTGTGTCTATTTCTTCGACTTTTTCTTCTATTATTGTCATTAATGTTATTTCTGTTGGTTTGATTTTTCTTTCATGTTCTTTAGTGTCGTAGTATGTTTTTGTTTCTGGCCATTTTTCTTTCTCCTTTTTAAGCCAACTTGGGCCTTCAAGCCAGTTTGTGTTTTGTATTTCTTTCATAGATGTCCCTCTTGTGGCTATGTCTGCCGGATTTTCTTCACCTTTTATATGCTTTACATTATAATTTCTAATTATTTTTGTCTATTTTCAATAAATGTTTCTAGCCTTTTCTCTGATTTGAGCCATTCTATTACGTCTATTGCATCTGTCCAAAGTTGGACTTCTTCTAATTCTAAATCAATTTCTTTTTCTAAATATTTTGCTATTTTTGTTGCGATTTTTAGTGCTTGGAGTTCTAGCTTTGGGATTGTCTTATGTTTATTTGGGACGTAAATTGGGACAATTAAGCTTTTTGCAAATAATAGTTTAGTTACTATTTCTTCTTTCGATTTACATCTCAAATATGCTGCTATTCCCATAGCTTCTTTTGATGCGTCTGCGAATATCTGTAATGAATTTCCTTCCTTATTAATTTTGTATTTCGAAATTTTTCTTGGTATTTCTAATGGCTCCCCTTCTTGCCTTTTTGTTATCTTGACCCATTCTTCTTTTAATTTTTTGGATACCGGTTGATCCCAATCTGTTTTTTCTTCCCAAATTTTATGTGATAATAATTTGTATGGTAATAGTGCTGGACTCAATAACCCAAGAGGGTCGAATGTTGATGCGTAATGTGCTAATATTGTTCTTTTTGTTGTAGGTGTACCTTCTTCCCATTTTTTCAATTTAATTTTGTATATATCTTTTTCTGGTATCCATTCGATACCTAATAGCTTTGTTCTTTCATTATTACCTTTATCTTCTTCTGGTATTTTGTTTATTATTTCTTTGTCACTTGAAATAAATTCTCGAATATTCATTTTTGCCTTGTGAAATACTTCTTTCAATTGGCGATATATTTTTTCTAATTCGTCCAATTCGTCTGTGCCAACAATTATATTGTCTACATAAATATTTTTGAGGATGTCTTCTTCAATCATGTCTGTGTTTTTCTTTAAATGATGTTGAACTACAATTCCTAAATGCGCTGGACTACTTATTATTCCAAATGGAACTCTTTTAAATCTATATGTTTTTATTTTACTTTCTTCATTTGCAGGGTCGGCTGGCCAAAGAAAGCGTAGCGCGTCCCTGTCTTTTTCTCTTATACTTATTTGTAGGAAGGCTTTTTCTATATCTCCTGTTATTAAATGTTCCTTTAATCTTGTCCTGATAAGTATTCCAGTTAAATCTTTTAATAATATTGGTCCTTTTTCTAAGCAGTCATTCAATGATTGATCTGATGCTTTACATTTGGCACTTGCATCGTAAACGATTCTTACTTTACCTGAGTCTTTCTTTACTACCGGTTGGTGCGGTATATAATGTACGTGTTCTACTTTCTTTGTTGGATCTTTTACTTCTTCTATTATCTCCAATGCTATCTGTTGTTTAATAATTTTGTCATATTCTTCTAATAATTTTTTATCTTTTCTCAATCTTTTGAGTGTTGATATTAATCTTCCTCTTGCTAATGCAAAGTTTGATTGTAAATTACTTGCGTTCTCGTTCCAAGGTAGTGATACTTCGTATCTATCACCTGTCTCTTCTGGTGTTTTTATATCGTTTTCGAATTGAACCATCCATTTTTGTTCGTCCGATATTTCACTTGCGTCTTCCAAACCTATCATCTCTTTGCTTAATAATCTTTCCACTTTTTCTGTTAATTTCTCTTCTTCCGTTTCGATTTCAATTTTATTTTTGTCTTCCCCTTTTTCTTCATTATTTTGCTCAAGAGAGCTTTTTAATTTTGTATGGTGATTTTGTGTGTCTAACAGATTTCGATTATTAATTTTTAAATTTCCTTGTCCACTTAATATTTTTCCTACCGTTGATTCGTTAATCCAAAATCCATTTGGAAGTCTTCTTTCTGACTTTATATAAAAGTCATTGTAATTGTCATTCCCTATTAATATTTCAGGGCTTGTGTTGTGGTTTGGTACTTTTAATTCTTCTTGATATAGCTCTCTATACTTTCCTTCTATCTTTACTATTGTCATTTTTGCTAACGGTTGGTCCGTAGCTGACATTTGATAAATTCTTTTTCCTCTTTTTGTTTGTATTCCTATTTTTGTTTTTGCAAGTGTGTAGGTGCCAAGGTTGGCTCCTGCAAATCCTGTTAGTTTTACTTTTTTGTACTTCTCTAATTTAAGGTTGAGTTTTTCTGCTAGGTTCTTACTGATGTAACTCTGATCACTACCACTGTCGAAAAAGCAAAGTACTTTTTCTTGCTTGTACGGTATTTCTGGGTTGAATACTGTAATTGTTGTTGTTAGTAATATACTAGTTTGATTACTTTCTTCTTTGTTTGTTCGTACTGATTGCAATTGAATTTCTTCTTCGATATTATTTATTTGCTTTCTTTCTTCTTTCTTTCCAAATTGCTTTAAGCAAATTGCTTGATGGTGTCCTTGCTTCTTACAAAACCAACATATTTTGTTTTTGGTTGAGCATTCTTTGCTCTGATGTCCTGGTCTTAAACAGTTGATACATAACTTCTTTTCTCTTGCTAGTTTGTATCTTTCTTCTGCTGTTGGGATTTTTCTACAATCCGTTGACCAATGATTAAGGTTACAAAATGGACATGGCCACTTTGGTTTACTTCTTTCTTCTTGTTTTGGTTGAATTTGGTTTTGTATTTTTACTTCTTTCCTTCTTGGTTCTTCCTTTTTTTGTTCATTTGTTGTGTATTGCATTGTGGTTTTCCCAAATTTATATGGTGTTTTTTGTCTTTTATCTTCGTTAAATTCTTGATGTGATTCTTTGTATACTTCATTGACTGCTTGCTCTTCTTTTATAATTTCTGCCAAATTTTTTATTAAAATTTCTGTATTCCATTCGTTTGATTGTCTTTTCTTACTTAGCATTTGCCTTAAGACGGCTTTGCTTAATTTTTGCTCTATCATTAGAGATATTGCTGGAATATTTATTGTTTGTTTGTGTGTCTTCATTAATCGATTTATTCTTTGTAAGTCGCGTAACAATTTTATATCATCGTTAAAATTTTGACTGGTCTTTAATCCAAATAATTCTTTGTTTAATTTTCTTATTTGTGTTTCTTCTTTCTCGAATTCTTCTTTAAGAATTTCAATTGCGACTTCATAATTTTCTTCTAGTGGTTCTATACCTTTGAGTACGGCTGCTGCTTCTCCTCTTACGTGCGCGAAAAGTTGACATATTTTTTGTAACCTTGGAATACTATCATCTTCATGAATTAATAGTTTCCATATAGGCCAAAAGTCTGACCAATTTGGTCCTTCTAATGTTACTGTTTTAGTAACGGTGGTTTGAGTACGTGGGTATTTCCTCTAGATTCATTCATTGTTGTATTTTGTTCGTTTTGTAGTGTCGGTTCCTTTTGAGACCTCATGACTAAGTAGTCAATCTCAATTGAATTCCAATTTCTTATTTTTGTTTTTGCTATTTTGTAAATACTTTCTATCTGATTTTCGTTGATAAAATTTGTTATTTCATTTTCTGCTTCGATTCTCTCGCTTGTCTTCAATTTTTGAATGTTTGCTTCCCACTCATCTTGTATGATCTCTATTTTTCTTGTGTTGCTTTCCAATTCTTCTTTTATTGCTTTTATCTTCCTTATTTGACCTTCAAGTACGTGAATATCATCTTCTTCTGTTGGTCCTTTGACCTCTGTTGCTATCAATTCTTTAGTGATCTCGATGATATTTTTTAACTTTCTTTTGTTTGATGTTATTGAAGACATTTTTATTATTTATTTTTAATTTTATTTTATAAAAATTTTAGATTTTTTTTTTAATAATTTTATCCTGGCTCAATAGAGCTTGGGTTTTTATTTTGATTAACTTACTTTTATTGTTCTTGCTAACAATTTGATTTTGTCCCCCACTTTCTTTTGAATTTGTTGTTTTGTTGTTTTTGTTGTGAATTTATTACGAAATCGTTCGTTGTCGGGGCTCCAGATATCAGAAACGTCAAATTAAATATTTGGGTTGCTGACAATTAATAAAACGAAGACAAAAGTTTTTAATATAATACTTTATTATAGCACCTTAAACTTGGGTAATTAAACCAAATTAAACAAAGAAATGTGTGAACGAAAAATGTGAAAAATGAATAAAATCGCGAAATTAATAATTTTATTAAGTTCTTGGGTCGTCACGGGAGAGGGATAGCCAACCATTGTTGTCGGGGCACTCCTTGCCGTTACCGATCTCTCGGCCAAAGAAGGCTAGGGAACGGTTCCGGCAAGGAGCGCCTTTTGTGGTGTGTTGCTGTCCCAAGTGGGATAAGGAGAGAATGAATTGTTGTTGGGAGGAGTGTGCTTCTTTAAATAGTGGGGGTAAATGATTATATCTTCTTTTACAAATAACTTATTTACATTACAAATTTATTGTGGGAAAGTTGTTAAAAAATGAGGGGAAAAGATTGTAGGCCAAAGAAGGCTAAAATTAAAAGAAAATTATTTTTTATAAAAAAGAAAGAATTTTTTAAACAAAAAATAAAAAGGAATGTGAATTGATTGGTCGGTGATTCACTTTTCTCACACCGACTGACACAAGAATAAAACATAAAATAAAAAATTTATTTTTACCCGGGAACGCCCGAGTCTCGTGTCTCGGGCGTTCCCGACAAAACAACAAAATAGAAAAATAAATATTTTTCAAAATATATCCCTGTATCCACCTACTAAATGAAATCTCTTTAACGGGAATGCTATTCTGAATTAATTTATTTGCTTTGGGATATTAATTAATTTAGTCCACTTATATGGACTTCCAAAAAATTTCTGGAATAGGAAACAACACTGAAACAACTCAACTTCTATTAAAAACCCTTATAACCACTAAAATTGAAAAAATAAATATCTTTTAATTATAATATCGAACTCTAATTGCGTTCTATTTTATAGTACTATTCCGGGAAAAAACAAAAATTAGTTCAATCCCTAGTGCCGGAATTAACGGAATTAATACCACTATATATGGGGTTGTCTATTTTTATGAGAATTTGGGTAAAACAGAATTTTCAAAAAAAATTTCCGATTCAGATGAGCTAACTCAAAAGAGCATGAATAACATTTAAAATTGAATCGCAGAATAAGGAGATAAAAAGCTGCTAAAAATTTTTGCCTTACATTTTGTTAACTTTCGTTAGTTTCAGAAAGTTTGGCATTCTGCTAGAATTACTGGTTTTTCTCGACTGCTGATCCTTTTTCCTGGCTGGTTCTTCCAAAGTTTCCGTTGATTCTTCCTTTTGGCGCAGACGATATATAGTCGAGTTTATTGGGGTTTTTGTCAATTTCGATCCGTAGTTTGTTGAATCATTGAATCAACATCCAAAAATAACGAGAAATATAGAAGCGCGCGACCGGCTTTCGTAAATATATAAATACTAATAAACATAGAATAATCAAATAATTAATATTGTGTAAAGGTCTCGGATAACCCCAATAACCTAAAGTTGACTAGGATTCTAGGTTCGAAACCTAACGGAATCGAACTTTCTGTTTGGTTCTTAGTTTAGGTCCAGGATATGGTTACTTGCTTAGTAAAATACTAACGTTATCTTGCTCAGCTCATTTGTTGAATCATTGGTTCAACATCCAAAAAATACCATCAGTAAAAACCATCAGTAAAATAAAATATATAAATAATAATAACTACGGAATAATCAAATAATTAATATTGTTAATAGGTCTTGGTTATCCTCAATAACCGTGTCCTCAATCTTACAGTTGACTAGGATTCTAGGTTCGGTACCTAACAAAATGGAGCTTTTGTTTTTATGTATTAGCTGAGGGGGGAAATTACTACCCATTCTAGCTTTATTAACTAGAGACTGGTTCTCTCTAGTGGAATAACCTCTTCAAATGGATGACCCTCTATTTATGTCTTATAGTTAACTTTAGTATATAATTATACATTATTTCGATACATATATGTGTTTTTATTCTAAAATAATCACAGCTTTTGACGTGCCTGACCATCTGTGTATTTTTGTAACTCTAGAAATGCTATGACTAATATCATAAAGTAAAAGTTTCCACGATGGTTCTATTCCATCTCCCATCCAATGAATTTTTCCACAGCATAACATGAATATAATAATACGATTCTCGCTGTCAATTCTCGCTGTCAGGTCTCTAGTTTTACTTATACTTTTTCAATTATAAGTATACTGATCCGACCAAAACCTAACTCAACTAGAGTCTGAACCCTTAACATCTCTACTTCATGCTTGTGCCGATTAAATTATTCAGCTTTAAACCCAAAGATGTATCTATCCTCTTAACTATGATCTTTCATAGCTTCCAAAAAATAACATGGGAAAAGTGGCAATAATCTTTGTTGTACATCTACTATTTATATTTTTAAAGTTTTTATTTTATTAATATATATTTTGTAAATTATTACTTAAACAAATTTCAACTAAAATTTATCTTTCGCGTGACATGTTAATTTTAAAAAATTTATACACCTTTCTATATATAATTTAACTTTAATTTCCTTTGTTTCAGCTGCCATTTTATTAAACTCAATGTTCAAAAACTTTAAATATAATTTTTTTTATTTTTCTGGTCCTCATATACATTATTTTAATTTTAAGAAAGATTGGAGATTGGAGATCCTAAGATTGGAGATGCTTGTCCACTCCAGCCGTCTAAATACCTTTTTCATTAGTTGACTGAGAAATAATCGCTTCAGCTCAGCTTTATTAAATTTAGAATGGTCCTATACCTTAGGATTCCCTCAAAATTGAATTACCCTCTATAATACTCTAATATATAAAGTATATAATTTTTCATTATTTCTATCATATATGCTTATTTATTAAAAGATATTTTAAGTTAGGTTAGCCGTTGTTTGATTATTTTTGTAAGTCTAGCTATACCTAGACTAATATTAAGTTATTCAAAATGTTTAGTCTCTCTCTCTCTGCCTTAGGATGATCCCCAAATTGAAATACCCTCTATCACATGTCTAATAATCAAAGTATATAATTTTTCATTATTTCGGTTATATGTATATGCTTTATTAATTAAAATATGTCTTACCTAATTCATTTGCTGCCTTGAGTTTATTTTTTTTGTAAGTCTAGCTATACCTAGACTAATATTAAACTAGCCGAAAAGTTTAGTTATTGGAGAGATTAAAGCTGTGTCAAATTATTTCAAATTCCTTGTTTTAGAGGATTAAGGCGAAATAAGTGGAGATTTTCACATATTCCTCTTAATCCCCACAAAGATATCCACGTTATCCTCTGATTTTAAATTCAATGTATTTGGATCTTGAACAAGTATCTTTGTTATCGAGATCGATATTTCTCGAGATATATCATATGATACTCGCTGAAACTCCCAGCCCGGTTTCTAGTTATTTCTAGACCTTTTACGGAAAGATTCAGGGATCGCAATTAGGGTTGATGGCCCCGGTCCGAAAGATCGAGTCTGGCATTGAATTTTGGCCTGAAAAAGACTCGGTCTGGCCGGCCCGATAAAAATGACTTGAACGACAGCTCGACTCGAAATCCAAACCCTTATCGCAATATTGCAACTGTGTGCAGTTACTCTCAGATCACCCTGTAGAAATACTAGAGACTAGCCTGGGAGTCAATTAAATTTTAGAAATGAGTTTAGACTTTAATTCTTCAGAAACTCATGGAATTATTGGATTAATAGATCATTTAAAATTTCGAATGTTTTGCTGCAGCAATGTGCGCCGCATCAATTTCTACAGAAACGAGGCTGAAAAATGAGAAATACTGCGGAGGGCACGTACTATTGACGAAGAAATTGAAAATGAAAAATTGTCGTTCAAAAAGACGTTGAAAATACTTTTGTTAGGTATGTTATACGGTCAGAAGGTACTTTTCTGTTTTGCCACACCCCACCCATATATTCGCAGGTATATTTTCTATTTTTCCTTAATTCGTACAGAAAGGTCAGTTTTCTTTCTTCCTCAATTTCACTTAATTTTCCCTGTGAACTCAATCCTCCGTGCTCACTCGATTTTCCCAAATGTTGATTTCAATTTTAATGACATTGGAAAGAAAAATTCGAAAATCCCAACCTAGTCAGAACAATTATGAGATAAACCCTTGTAGAGATAGTTAAAACAACGTTCCCAACTCTTGAATAGTGTTCGAAACGGTTTAAAATAAATGATGTACTACCAAAAAAATTTCGATACTATTAGGATTTTAGAATTTTATGTCTTGAACATGGCCAGTTCTTTTAGTACTACTGGGGTTAGTATCAAAATAAACCATTTGCCAATACTTCTCTTGAATTGAAAAATTAATTTTTATATTTTTGTTTAATATTAATTTATTTTAATTTCCCTGTTAAAATGGTGACTAGATAATCATAGAAACGCATTTGTTGATAGCCAGGCAGATTTATTTTTGGATGCCAAAATAATATTTGGTAATAAATTTATTTTCACATTCTAGGTGGCCCTGAAAGCGGCAAGAGCACTATATTTAAGCAGATGAAGTATGTTTTTTGAATTCTAATTTAACTCTAGCAGGGGAAGGGATTCCCCGAGGATTCCCCGGATCACCCATTCTCCGTGGAATGCCATTCCGGAACACGCATTCCCATCCCATAAAATTCGTTATAAAGCTGGTTACCGGCTAATCGCCTAATTAGTGCTAAGCAATACCTTCCTCAAATATTTACTCCTTCAGAAAATGTTGAACTATAATACTCCCTTAAAATTTGTTATAAATACAGTTTAACTTAATT